GGTGGTGCGCCGGTGGGCGGGGGGACCCGGAGGAGCCGCTGGTGTGTCTCACAAAGACCCCCAACATCTTCCTCCAAACCTCTCCATCGCTGTTGTTGTGTCTTCTCTCTCCCTGTCCGCTCGCCTGCCAGCCTGGCACCCTGTCCCCTCCCTCTGTCCTGCCATGGCTGTGGCTTGCACGCTGCACACACCCCCCACTCTGCTCCTGCACCCTGAGGGGCACCGGGGCTCCTCTGGGACCAAGGGTGTGGTGGGTAAGAGCTTCATTTCCATCCCCTCCTGCTGCCTGGTGGAGATCTGGCAAGAGCAGGTGGCAGCCTGGCTAGTCACTGGGGGACTCAGCCACCCAGGCTGGGCTCCTCCTGCTTGTTCCCAGCCACCTCCCAGTACCCAGAGGGGACACCAAATCTAGACGGGAACGTTGGGTCCAAGGGTAAGCTGGGAACAGCCCATGCACACTGCAAAAGGGACTGGTGGCTGTGCTGCTGCCACGGGGGGTTCTGAGGCCACAATCCTGCCTGCCTGCTCTGAACATGATGCTTGTATCTCTGGCTGGAGGTTACTGGTGCTGCTGGGCTGCCCATCACCATGCACGGAGGTTTGGGGCTGCCCTGCTAGTGTGCACAGAGAGTCCCCAGCACCCTGCTGTCATGCCCAAGGGTGCTGGTCCACCCTGCTGTGCCATATGTAAGGGTGCTGGTCAACCCTGTTGTGCCATGTGGAGCATCTCGTGCTCTGCCCAGCTCTCAGCCTGTCTCCCTGCCCATACAAGCAGCCCTGTCTCCTGTCCCTGGCCAGCTCCTGCTCTTCACACTGCCCTGGGCTTTGGGCCAGAGACATCACCTCATCCACACTGGCAGTGGCACAAGGAGGGTCTGGACGTGCCATTGTCCCGGCCTGGAACAGATGCCAGATGCCACAGCTTGCTCTTCATGGATGGGACAGCTGCCAGCTCCAGACCTGCTCCATCCTGAGCCCTCCCACTACCCATCTCTGACTCCATCTCTGATGGGGCTGATACCACCCCAGGCTCTCCATCCACATCTGTCATTCCCTGGAGAACTTGCTGTGGGCACACAGGGACCTCAGTGCACACCTGCTTGTGCTCCCTCTGCCCCAACAGCCTCAGCTCTGCAGTGGGCTCAGAGACCATTGGCAGCAGCATTAGGGTCAGGAGCTGTGCCCACCGGCTCACAGCACCCTGAGACACCCAACCTGCTCCTCCCATCCTCAGGGCTCCTTTGGGATTCACCCCCTACATCCCAAGAGCATCCCTTGGGGCCCCTCCACCTGTCCTGTGCCAGCCCTGGCACGGGCAGGGGGTGACAGCCGTGTCCCCGCAGGCGCTCGTCCAAGTACAACCTGTGCAGTGACAACCATGGGATAAAGCCACCGACCCCGGAGCAGTACCTGACGCCCCTGCAGCAGAAGGAGGTTTGCATCCGGCACCTGAAGGCTCGTCTGAAGGACACGCAGGAGCGGCTGCAGGACAGGTGAGCGCGGGGGCAGCGGGCACAGACCCCCTGGCATGGGAGCCACCAGGAAGGGTCCCAGCACTTTGGGACTGGTCTTGGGAGCTCTCAGTCCCCAGTGCCACCTCTTCTCATCGGGCTTATGCCCAGGCAGTGGGTTCATGGCTTTGCAGGCATGTGGGAATCTGGCATCGCTGCCCACCCAGCCAGGGAGCCCGGGACTGTGGGGCTGCAGAGCCCGTGTGTCCCACCTGTGCTGGATCCGCTCTCCCCTGCGCCCCCCGGCCAGGCTCTGCCACGCTTTTTTCTGAATTTCAGCGTCAGAGGGTGGCTAATCCCCATCTGCTGCTCTCGGGCTTAGGCACGTCTGTGCTGCCGTGCCAGCTGCCGTGCGCCCGCCCGGGCACCTGCCTGTCCCCACGCAGCCCTGGGCTCTGCAGCCGCTCCGGGAAGGTGCCGAGCATCACTCCTGAGGGTCACTGAGCACTGCTCCCAAGGGTGCCCAAGCATCCCCCCCAGAGGTCTCCAAGCCCCTGGATCTGTTCCTGTGTCCCAGTTGTGGGTTTTACTGGATAATCTGGCTCCAAGTCAGTGCTGGGCAGGTGAGGGCAGAGCTGGCCCTGCAGCCTCCTCAGTGCCACCGTGGTGCCCTCCCTGTCTCTTGTAGGGATGCTGAGATCGAGGACCTGAAGACGCAGCTGTCACGGATGCAGGAGGACTGGATCGAGGAGGAGTGTCACCGTGTGGAAGCCCAGCTGGCGCTGAAGGAAGCCCGCAAGGAGATCAAGCAGCTGAAGCAGGTCATCGACACAGTGAAGAACAACTTGCTGGAGAAGGACAAGGGGCTCCAGAAGTATTTTGTGGACATCAACATCCAGAACAAGAAGCTGGAGACCCTGCTGCACAGCATGGAAGTGGCACAGAACGGGGCACTGAAGGAGGAGGGGGCTGGCGAGTCGGCCGGGGGGTCCCCGGCCCGATCCCTCACCCGCAGCTCCACCTACACCAAGCTGAGCGACCAGGGGGCCGGGGACCGCAACGTGGGGGGCTCACAGACCATCTCAGTGGATGAGGGGGCCGACAGTGGCTTCGCAGGGGCAGAGGAGGCTCCTGGCCATACGGACCCACTGGAGGTGGGGGGCGAGCCTGATAACCGCCTGCCCCCCAGTTCCACCTACGAGAAGCTGCTGGGGCTGCGGGGCAGCGTGGAGGCGGGGGTGCAGGCCAGCTGCATGCAGGAGCGGGCCATCCAGACAGACTTTGTGCCCTGCCAGCCCGACC